TTCTGATTCAAAGCTAAGCATTTTTAAGTTAGCCCATTTCTCATTACAAGAATACATAAAGGTGCACCAGGAATCATTTAGCAACCCTCCTGTAAATGTCCCCGTTTGTGGGGCAGTCGTCCTTGCTGCCTCCACCCCTAATCCCGTGCTCTCGTCACCCCCAAATCGCCTCTCAGTGTCTTAGCCAATTGTACGTTCGGCTCGCTGGCCTCTTTCACGTCGGAGGTCGGCTCGCCTCCCGCGATAGGGAGAGGGGGGTCCGGGCCTCCCCCTCTCACGGACCCAAACGCAGGTTCGGTTCTAGGACCGGTTTTGTTAAATATCTTTATTAATGACCTGGATGAGGGGATGGATTGCACCCTCAGCAAGTTTGCGGATGACACTAAGCTGGGGGGAGAGGTAGATACGCTTAAGGGCAGAGATTGGGTACAGAATGACTTAGACAGAATGACTTGGAGGATTGGGCCACAAGAAATCTGATGAGGTTCAACAAGGACAAGTATAGAGTCCTGCACTTGGGACGGAAGAATCCCAAGCATAGTTACAACCTGGGGACCAACCAGTTAAGTAGTAGTTCTGCAGAAAAGGACCTGGGGGTTACAGTGGATGAGAAGCTAGATATGAGTCAACAGTGTGCCCTTGTAGCCAAGAAGGCTAATGGCATATTAGGATGCATTAAGAGGAGCATTGCCAGCAGATCCAGAGATGTCATTATTCCCCTTTATTCGGCTTTGGTGAGGCCACATCTGGAGTACTGTGTCCAGTTCTGGGCCCCCCACTACAAAAAGGATGCGGACGCATTGGAGAGGGTCCAGCGGAGGGCAACCAAAATGATTAGGGGTCTGGAGCATATGACCTACGAGGAGAGGCTGAGGGACTTGGGTCTGTTTAGTCTGCAGAAGCGAAGAGTGAGGGGGGACTTGATAGCAGCCTTCAACTTCCTGAAGGGAGGTTCCAAAGAGGATGGAGAGAGGCTGTTCTCAGTAGTGACAGATGGCAGAACAAGGAGCAATGGTCTCAAGTTGTGGTGGGAGAGGTCCAGATTGGATATTAGGAAAAACTATTTTACTAGGAGGGTAGTGAAGCATTGGAATGGGTTACCTAGGGAAGTAGTGGAGTCTCCATCCCTAGAGGTGTTTAAGTCTCGGCTTGACAAAGCCCTGGCCGGGTTGATTTAGATGGGATTGGTCCTGCCTAGAGCGGAGGGCTGGACTTGACGACCTTCTGAGGTCTCTTCCAGTTCTGATTCTATGATAAGGGGATGGTTGGATGAAATAACATGATCTTGGTAACTAATTGACCATTCATTTCCAGTTGGAAATAGGTCAATGGAGGGATGATAGGAGTTGCTATAGGGAACTTTCTGGGTGTCTGGCTGGTGAGTCTTGCCCACATGCTCAGGGTTTAGCTGATCGCCATATTTGGGGTTCTCCCTCTATTCCTCTCTCTCCTGCTCCCTCTGCTTGGATAGAACATTAGCAGATGAGGGGGTGGCAGCATGCAGGAACATAACAGAGACACTGCCTGGGGCATGCACTGTTTACAAAAGAGCATGTGGTGAGTTCTGTGCAATTGAAAGGTGTTGGAGCCTTCTGGTCTCTTTGCAGGACAGAGGCAGCATGAGGCAGTGTCAGCTGGTGGGCTGAGCCTTGTGTGTTCTCTTGACCTGCCACACTGGCTTGCTGGTGTCACTTGACCTCTGTCTCAGCTATCCCTTCTGTGGCGAGGACTACTTGCGCAAAGGAAACTACAGACCAGTCAGCTTAATTTCTATGCCAAGAAAGATAATGAAGCAAATAATACAGGAATTCATCTGCAAACATCTGGAAGATAATAAGCTGATAGGTAACAGCCAGAATGGATTTGTAAAGAACAACTCGTGTCAAACCAATCCAATAGCTTTCTTTGATAGGATAACAGGTCTGTGGGTAAATGGGAAGCAGTGGACTCTGTATATCTAGACCAGTGGTCTCCAACCTTTTTACACCCAAGATCACTTTTTAAATGTCAAGGCAAGCCAAGATCTATCGCACTCCTTCCCCAAAGCTCCACCTCTTCCTTGAGGCCCAGCCCTCTCCGTTCCCCTCATCTCCATCACTTGCTGTCCCCAGCCCTTACTCACTCTCACTGGGTTGAGGAAGGAGGTGTGGGCTCTGGGATGGGTTCAGGACTGGAGTCTGTGGGGGTGCAGGAGTATTATGATGCTGCAGCCAGATGGGGGCTTGGACCTAATTGGGGGCTAGTTGGCCAGGTTTCATTTTTAAATAAAACATTATGTCCAACACAACATGTTTCAGAATTATCTTTATTTGCAGGAGGCAAAGGGAACCTGTTTTGGGTCAGGAGTCACTGGCCCAGGGAAAAATCAGTCGGGACCACACAAGTGAGATGCAAGAAAGAACCCCTCCAAAACCCCCTAAGCCTCACTGATGTGGCCCCAACAGAGATATCTCACTCCCCTGGCACTCTAGCCCCATGTGGAAGGAGGGTAGGTAGGACTGAGGTTCAAAGTCTCAGGGCAGACTAACTTTTCTGGGATTCAAGGGTTAATGGAATTTGTGGGCCCTTCTACATTCTGAGGTGAGGCCAAAAATGAGGGACCCAGAGTGCTGGACAAGGTGCAGAATCTGGGTGGAAAACAGAATACAGGAGCAAGAGGGGGTAGATGTGTGGCCAGGAGGGAGGGGGCAGGTGCAGGGTACTGGTGGGTGACTTACAGCAAAACTCCTGCTAGGAAGGGTGAGATGAGCAAGGGATACACCATCACTACACACACACACACAAAACAGGTTCCCATGCCTCATAGGGTATGTCTACACTACCCCGCTAGTTCGAACTAGCGGGGTAGTGTAGACATACCCTATGAGGCATGGGAACCTGTTTTGTGTGTGTGTGTGTAGTGATGGTGTATCCCTTGCTCATCTCACCCTTCCTAGCAGGAGTTTTGCTGTAAGTCACCCACCAGTACCCTGCACCTGCCCCCTCCCTCCTGGCCACACATCTACCCCCTCTTGCTCCTGTATTCTGTTTTCCACCCAGATTCTGCACCTTGTCCAGCACTCTGGGTCCCTCATTTTTGGCCTCACCTCAGAATGTAGAAGGGCCCACAAATTCCATTAACCCTTGAATCCCAGAAAAGTTAGTCTGCCCTGAGACTTTGAACCTCAGTCCTACCTACCCTCCTTCCACATGGGGCTAGAGTGCCAGGGGAGTGAGATATCTCTGTTGGGGCCACATCAGTGAGGCTTAGGGGGTTTTGGAGGGGTTCTTTCTTGCATCTCACTTGTGTGGTCCCGACTGATTTTTCCCTGGGCCAGTGACTCCTGACCCAAAACAGGTTCCCTTTGCCTCCTGCAAATAAAGATAATTCTGAAACATGTTGTGTTGGACATAATGTTTTATTTAAAAATGAAACCTGGCCAACTAGTCACCTTTCGTAACTAACATATAGTTCTGTGAATTAGCCATACTCACTTTTTGATCGCAAAAATTATCAGTCCTACAGTGACATTCCTTTGTCGGAACTGCTCATTCAGGATCTCGAGATTGTAGGTTCCTTCCCAAACTATTGGCGCAAACCATGGAGTCATCATAAGGACGTCATTTCTCCTGTGGAAGAGGAAGTTTTCTTTAGAATCACACTGTAGAAGTAAGAAACACAGAGACAGTTGCCTTCCCTACATTTAGAAAGACACTACCAGATCCATGTGTCAAAGTTCAGAAATAACTAATAGGTGTATAGAAATACACAAGTCTATGAACTCACATGGCACTGTGCAATAAGGCTATATAATGTAACAGGTTACTGCTATCTCCCTGGATTAACCCTTTAAGATTTAGTAATAATGTAAGAAACTAACTAATGGTGCACTGCACTGGCATCTATCCATCATGCATAAGGTTTGTAAGCAAATAAAACATCCTGGGTTGTACTTTGTTTAAAGATCCAAGTGTTTCTGAGATTTTGTATGAATACATGAACACAGAGACAATCCAGGGAATTACAGACCAGTCATCTTAACTTCTGTACCCAGAAAGATAATGGAGCAAATAATTAAGCAATCAATTTGCAAACGTCTAGAACAGTGGTTCCCAATCTTTTCCGTATCATGCCCCCTTTTTGATTTAAGAGAAACCCCACCCCCCACGGCGAGCAAAACCTGTTGTGCATTAAAAAAAAAAGAAACTGACGAGGACAGAAAAAAAATAGCAGCAAAACTTGGGTGGGGGGGAGGATTGATGAGGGGCTGGGTCACTCACGCCCCCCCCTGGAATTTCTTCATGTCCCCCAGTTTGGGAACCCATGATCTAGAAAATAACAAGGTGATAAGTAACAATCAGGATAGATTTGTCAAGAACAAATCATGTGAAACCTAACTGATAGCTTTCTTTGACAGGGTAACAGGTCTTGTGGATTGGTGGGGTTGGGGGAGGAGGGGAACAGTAGATATGGTTTATCTTGTCTTTAGTAATGGCTTTTGATACTGTCTCACATGGCCTTCTCATTAATCAATTAGGGAAATACAAGCTAGATCAGTGGTCTCCAACCTTTTAAAGCACAAGATCACTTTTTTAATTTAAGTGTAAGCCAAGGTCTACTTCAAACTCAAATAGCCTTGCCCCACCTCCTTTGTGCCTTTTCGGAGGCCCCGCCCCCTGCTCACTCCATCCTGCCTCCCTTCCCCATCCTTCCTCACTTTTGTCAGGTAGGAGCAGTGGGTTGGGGTGAGGGCTTTGGTCTTGGATTATAGGATTTGGAGTGTGAGAGGGGCTGTGAGCTGAGCTGAGATTAGGGCAGGTAGATGGGGCGCTAGAAGGGTTTCAAGGTGCAGGGGCTGGGAGGGTGTTTGGATACACGGATGCTCAGGGCTAGGATGATGATGATAGAGTACACTAATAAAAGTTATGGATGATACCAAGTTGGGAGAGGTTGCAAGTGCTTTGGAGAATAAGATTAAAATTCGAACTGGAGAAATGATCTGAAATAAATAGGATGAAATTCAGTACAGACAAATGCAAAGCACTCCTCTTAGGAAGAAACAATTGGGAAATGACTGCCTAGGAAGGAGTACTGCACAAAGGAATCTAGGGGTTATAGTGAACCACAAACTAAATATGTGTAATACTTTTGCAAAAAAATTGAACATAATTCTGGGATATATTAGCAGGAGTATTGTAAGCAAGTCACGAGAAGTAATTTTTCTGCTCTACTCCACATGGATTAGGCCACAACTAGAGGCATCGTTTTCAGATCTGGGTGCCACATTTCAGAAAAGTTGTGAACAAACTGGAATAAGTCTAGAGAAAAATGTCAAAAGTTATTAAATGTCTAGAAAACATTTCCTATGAGGGAAGAGTGAAAAAGTTGGGTAGTTTATTATGGAAGAGAAGACTGAGAGGATATTATAAACATTTTCAAGTACTTAAACGGTTGTTTCAAAGAGGAAGGAGAAAAATTGTTGTTCTTAACCGCTGAAGATAAATAAGAAGCAAGGGAATTTTAGATTGGACATTAGGAAAACTTCCTGTCAGGTGGTTAAACTCTGGAATAAATTGCCTAGGAAGGGTTTAGAATCTCTATCATTGGAGTGTTTTATGAGTAGATTAGAGAAACACCTGTCTGGAATGGTCTAGTAGTTAATATTAAGTCTACACTGGCAAATTACAGGGCAGTAAATCAACTCCCAGGGCTATAACTCCCAAAGTGTCCTCACTGGCAAGGTACTTAGTGAGCACTAATTCCACAGTTGTTGCACTCTAGGTAAACCACATCGACAAGAGACATAGAGCTTTCTGCACTGTAACTACAGCACTGGGATGCCAGTGTAAACACTTTAATTGTTTTCTGCATAGTTACAGGCCGCTGGATATGTCCCATAATTCTTCAAGTGGCCACTCTGCTCATTATTTTGAACTTGTCTGTCTGCCCTGCAGGCACATGCATATCCCCTTTCAAAGCTCCGGTTCTGACCCCCTGCTAATCTGCTCCAGGACAAGAGCAAACCATTCAGTGGAATGCTCGTGCTGCTGTACAAAAAGACGTGTGTGTGTGTGTGTGATAAAGAGAAAGAAAGAGAGAGAGAGATTGCTGTGTAGCTGTCTGAACTTACAAAGCAGCATGCTGATGTCCCCCAAAACACAGTCTCTCCCCCCAATACATACCCACACACTCCCTGTCACACACTTCCCATCCCCCACACTTCTACTGAAAAGCAGCTGTCAGTGTAGGTTGACCATAGAGCAATGGGATTGGGAAACCTGCATCACATGACACTGCCTGCCCCATGTGGCATTGCAAACTCTTTCTGAAGCACTCTGTGTCTAGTGGCATAGTGGGATAGATGCCACAATGCATTGCTCTCTGGGCCATTGCAAGAGCTGCTAATGTGGATGCACACCACCATCACAAGGAGCACAGTGCGGATACACAACAGCAGTATCCCTGCTCTGTGAGCAGAACTGTAACTGCCAGCGCTGTAAATCTGCCAGGGTAGACATACCCTGAGTGCTGCCACAAGTGCAGGGGATCGGACTAGAGGTACTGGCGCTGACTCCATCGGTGCTCAGGGGCTGGAACTCCCACAGGGAAAAAGTTATAGACAGCCAAGCCCCTTCCTCCCACCAGTGACTTTTGCCCACTGGCGGACCTTCTGACCAACTCCTCCCTCTCCCTCTTGACACCCCTCTCCCACAAACAGCTGTTTTTCAGCATTCAGGATACTCCAGGAGGGAGGGAGAGGAGCAGGGACACAGCACACTGAGAGGAAGAGATGGGGCAGAGATGGAACAGGAGTGGGGCAGAGGGTGAAGAAAAGGCGGGGCTGGACTGGGAGTATGGGGGAATGGGTAAAGTGGGGACAGGGGTGGAGGAGAGATTGAGCACCCCCAGCTAAAGGGAAAGTAAGCACCTATGTCTCAAGGTCCCTTTCAGGCCTAGGATTCCAAGTTCAGAAACTTCCTTAAGAATTTTGGTTTCACTTTAGTCTATTAACTTCAGTTGTATCTTGGATGAAACAAAAACACTTATTTTCAGTTTTACTTACGGTGGCTTTAGAACCTGTGGCTTTGCGTAAATCATTCTAAAGGGAAAACAGGAAAAAATTATTTCAAATTAAAGAACGATTTTCATAGCTGTTAAAAAAAATCCATCTGGAGTTTACAAGATAAAAGATTTCCCTCACTCAGGGACCCACACTCAGGATTCTTCAGGAAAGGGTTTTAACTTGAGTTTAGCTTGAGTTTAAATCCTGGTTCAGGTCACAAATGAACATGAGTTTAATGGTCTCTAATATTGGTTCTGATCACAAAACCGCTACATCGTGTGTCTTCATTGACAATCTATGCTTAAGAGAAGCTCAGAGGGAGATAGCAAAAGTCAGGAATGATGTGCATTAGAAAACCAGTGTGACCATGCAGGATCGGAGAAGAAAAGTTTTGCAGGTGGGGAATGGGGCACGTTGATAGAGCAGTGGGTGTGGCTTAGAGTTTGAATAGTAGAGGTGCAGGCTGGTAATATTCATAGAGGGAAATCCATGATATCACTGCTGAGAGGTAGGTAATATCCAAGCTTATCTAATCTCAGTGTCATCAGGCTCTCCTGACAATTCATAATATACAAATTCAATGCTAAGCCGTAGTACTGGAGTTCTACAAGCATAGATGATCATCCTTCAGGAACCCCAGAGCTCTTTTGAAAGCAGATCAAATACTTAAACAATCTAAATAAAGTTCTACCTTGGTAACTCAATTTCCAGTAAGTTCTCCAGGAGGCAGGTATGGTTGCTATGGAGGAAGAGCAATGGAAGTTTGGTTTACAAAGACATCATGAAATAGAAAATAAGTAGTCCAAGAAATCATTGAGTTATTTCACGTTTACCAGCGTCCAAATATAAAAGAAATTAACAAAAATATTCTGCTGGATTATCTTTGTTTATTGAATGTCAGTGAGATCATTGGTTTGTTTTTTCATTGAAAGAAAACATTGGACATTTAGTTTACCAAAAATATAGCATTATTAGAGCATAATTTGTCTAAAAGTAATACAAGTCCAAGGAAAATACATCTGCAAACCTACACATGAATACTCCTTATTCACATAAGTACAAGTTGAACATCTTTAGTCCAACACCCCCAGGGCCTGACCAGTGCCAAACCAGAGACTTTGCCAAACCAATGGCAATCAATATTTTATATCAGCACTACCAATACGTCCTCTGCTTAATGGGCTGTTAAAAGACATTTAGGGGTAAATTAGAGCTAAATAACAGTACAAAATCCTGAAAGCCAGGACTGGTGGCTGTAAAAAAACTTTATAGGACCAGCGGAAACTTGACCACGCCCATAAGAAGTGGACGTCCAGCTACCTAAAATCCCACCACAAATGATACTGGACTGGAGAGTGCTGGACTAGAGAGATTCAACCTGTCGTCGCACTGAAGCAAACTGTATTATCACATCAGTAAAGGTCAGTCAAGTTAGCAAGCGTTTTCAGGATTATGTCACAGAAATTAAATGGAATTAACAAAAGGCCCCAATTTAGCAGATCTGTTTTGTGGATGTCATCCAGGTGCGGATTATTTGGGCTACAGGAAGAAAGCATTTAACATTTAGGGTGTGTCTAGACTACTACTAGACTAGAACATGACGGTTTTGTCGACGGCGGTAAACCTCATTCTACGAGGAATAACGCCTTTTTTCAAAAGGCATCTTTTGAAAAAAAGCGCTATTGCATGAAAACAGGGCTTTTTCGAAAGAGAGCGTCTAGACGCTCTTTTTCAAAAGAGGCTTTTTCTAAAGATACTTTTGAAAAAGCCTCTTTTGAGAGAGGCTTGCAGTCTAGATGTAGCCTTAGCGTTGGGTTGTTTTGTTGTTGTTGTTGTTTTAAGCACAGTATAGAACAAAATAGGCAGTTATCATTAATGTCAAGATTAACACCATTCAAACATTTAACAGAAGGGAACAAAAGATTCCACCTTGGTTGTTTTATTTCTTGTGCCTCATTTAAGCCATGGGAGAGAAAGTGCTGGAAATTTTATTAATTAAATTTGTATGGCTAGAGGCAGGCATGGGAGGGTGGGGGGTGGGCATTAGGCTCTTTCCCCAAGCCAGCACATGGTACCACCTGTGGAAGCAGGGAAAGGAAAAGGGGGATTTGTGTGCAGCTATTTTAGGGTTGTTAGCAATTTAGCAAGAGACAGGCTAACCCTGAGGCCTAACAATGCGCGGGAGAGAATTGTAAGAGATGCTTCGCTCTAAAAGATTAGAATGGAATGCTGACTCCAGCAGGAACTCTGAGATAAGGTAGCATCTGAAGGGAATTGTGTTAGCAGAGAGATAACTGTTAGTTGTTGATGTATGTAACGGGAAGGTATATATACTTGTCTTCTACTCCTCCCTCCCCGCAGTGCCTCTTGCCCACTGGTGGGCCTGCTAACCAACTCCTCCTCCCACACACAGTATCTGTCACCCCTCATAAACAGCTGTTCTTCAGCATTTGGGATGCTCTGGGAGGCAGGGGCAGGAGCAGAGACACAGCTGGTCACAGGAGGAGGCAGGGCAGGGGACTTGGGGGCTGTGGTGGAATGGACATAGTGGCAGGGGCAGAGCAGGGGCAAAAAGGGGGAGGGAGTCAAGTACCCCCAGCTAAAGGGAAAGTCAGCGCTTATGTCTTAAGGTCCCAGTCAGGCCTATGGTTCTAAATTCAGAAACTTCTTTTTGCATTTTGACTTTAGTCTATTAACTTTTGTTACCTGCAAGTTGTAGCTAAACGCCTATTTTTAATTTTACTTACGGTGGCCTGAGAATCTGTGGCTTTGAGTAAATCTTTCTAAAAGGAACACAGGAAAACAAAAATTATTTCAAGTTAAGGAACAATTTTCATAGCTCTTCAAGAAGCCTTTGACAGTTTACAGATACAGATTCCCACCACTCACTGATTCCCACCAATCGGTGGGAGTAACCCAAACCAGCGAATATGCCATTACAGAGACTCCATTCAGTAATCCTCACTTGATCTACAAAAATGATACATGCATACACATGGGATAATCTTATTCAGTAGATTACAACCTTTCGAAGGATATATTATGTGAGGCATTTTGTATAAAGCTAATCGCATGTGTGACATTCATTCCATAATCATGTTCAGAAAGCTTATGGAAAGCCCTTTCACAGCCGCCTTGTTATTTGAAGACCTCACTCAGAGCTGAAATCAGTTGTGGGAGGACTGATTCTCCCATCTGCTAAGAGATAAAAATCACTGTCAGCTGAAACTAGGTGAGATGGGGCAGCGTTTCTGCCCAGCCTGCAAAGAGATGAAAGTTACTAAGAGACTGATGTGTAGAGGTCACAGCAGAGAGGCAGGTGGTAGCAGAAGGTGACTGACAGTCAGCTGGTAAACAAGAGGCTGGGTGGCTAGCAGAGAGGGGCGGTGTCCAAGCAACAGAACAAATAAGGTGCCTCTTTACACCCTACTCCACCCAGGAAGTGAACTCTATAGCTGCACTTCTGAACTTTAACTCTGCATTGGCCAAGCAACGCTGACCAGCAACTGTGAGTGGGGTGCAGAGAGGGTCAGGCATGTGAAAGGGTTGGGGTGGCTGGACCTAAGAACCTGAGAGGAAAAGGACACCCCCCCAGCCTACTTGGGGATGGCTCTTTTGCTCATGGTTTATGTTTATGAACCTTCTTAATTTGGTATTTTCTGAAATTGATGCCAAGTGACTCCCCTTCTTTTATTAAAAGTTTCTTTCCCACACTCGGACTCTGTGCTTGCGAGTGGAGAAGGATTGACTCTCTGTAGTGCCTGGCTGTGGTGTGTGAATTTTACAGGTTACAAGGTGGGGGCCTGAGCCAGTTTTGTGTTGCATCGATGGAAAGGAAACCCTCTATTCTGCACCCAGCCCTGGTTGCTGCTGGCTCCACCTGGCAGAATGGTTACACTAACATGGCTTGTGATGATGTGTCAAGATCTTTGCAAAGTACGGCTCCAAAGGATCAGCATGACAACAGGTGCAACTCAACTCTTCATCTGTGGCTGCTGGTGTCATTAGAAGGTTGGTAGATGATGTGGACACAGGAAAGGGCCTTGCAGAGCCAGTTTCAGAATTAGGTACAGGTCTTAGGAGAAATGCTCAGCAAGCATAGCTCCACTGAAGGCAGTGAGTGCACTGATTATACCACCTGCGGACCTGCTCCCTCCATGTATCTAATTCAGAAAAAGGGAACCACTAGAGCTGTGCTGTCACTCTCCACCTTCCTCTGAGGAGTCACTGCTAGTTTAAATTGAGTTTTCATTTGAAATGTGGCAGCAGACCCCAAATAAGTTTTGAGAGCATAAGAACAGCCGTACTGCGTCAGACCAAAATTCATCTAGCCCAGTATCCTGTCTTCCCACAGTGGCCAATGCCAGGTGCTCCAGAGGGAGTGGATAGAACAGGTAATCATCAAGCGATCCCCTCCTGTCATCCATTCCCAGCTTCTGGCAAACAGAGGCTAGGAACACCATTTCTACCCATCTTGGCAAATAAGTATTGATGGACCTAACCTCCATGAATTTAGCCACGTCATTTTTGGACGCTGTTAAAGTCCTGGTTTTCGCGACATCCTCTGGCAAGGGTTTCCACAGGTAGACTGTGTGCTGCATGAAGAAAAACTTCCTTTTGTTTGTTTTAAACCTGCTACCTATTAATTTCATTTGGTGACTCCTAGTTCTTATGTTATGGGAACAAGAAAATAACTTTTCCTAATTCATTTTCTCCATACCTGTCGTCCTCTGTCATATTCCCCCCTCAGTGTCCTCTCTTCTTAGATGAAAAGACCCTGTCTTTTAATCTTTGTTTAAAAAATAAAGAAGTGCCAGTACTCACCCCTCTGAGGGATTTTGTGGAGGAAGAAAAAAAAGTCGGCCACCTCCTGGCGGGCAACAAACTGGCCACAGGAAAAAAAGTGAAAAGGTGACAATACTCATTTCTTGAGGACAGTAAATTGGAAAATGGTTTCCAATCCTTTTTCTTACTGAGCTCCCTAAATCCTTTTCTATTGAATTTGTGATAAACTTTTATAATTATGTTAAAATAAATAAAGCTTCACAGAATCATAGAACCATAGAGCTGGAACAGACCTCAGAAGGTCATCAAGTCCAGCCCCCTGCTCTAGGCAGGACAAATCCCAACTAAATCAACCCAGCCAGGGCTTTGTCAAGCCAAGACTTAAACACCTCTAGGGGTGGAGACTCCACTACTTCCCTAGGTAACCCATTCCAGTGCTTCATCACCCTCCAAGTGAAATAGTTTTTCCTAATATCCAACCTGGACTCTCCCACCGCAACTTGAGACCATTGCTCCTTGTTCTGCCATCTGTCACTACTGAGAACAGCCTCTCTCCATCCTCTTTGGAACCTCCCTTCAGAAAGTTGAAGGCTGCTATCAAATCCCCCCTCACTCTTCACTTCTGCAGACTAAACAGACCCAACTCCCTCAGCCTCTCCTCGTAGGTCATATGCTCCAGCCCCCTAATCATTTTGGTTGCCCTCCGCTGGACCCACTCCAATGCGTCCACATCCTTTTTGTAGTGGGGGGCCCAGAACTGGACACAATACTCCAGATGTGACCTCACCAGAGCTAAATAAAGGGGAATAATGACATCTCTGGATTTGCTGGCAGTGCTCCTCCTAATGCAGCCTAATATGCCATTAGCCTTCTTGGCTACAAGGGCACACTGTTGACTCGTATCCAGCTGCTCATCCTCTGTAACCCCCAGGTCCTTTTCTGCAGAACTATTACTTAGCTGGCTGGTCCCCAGCCTGTAACAATGCTTGGGATTCTTCCAACCCAAGTGCAGGACTCTGCACTTCTCCTTGTTGAACCTCATCAGCTTTCTTGTGGCCCAATCCTCCAATTTGTCTAAGTCACTCTGGACCCTATCTCTGCCCTCGGATGCGTTAAGTTCAGACTCATGGATTTATGTACATTTAGCTTTTCTAAATAGTTTCTAACCTGCTCTTTACCCATCAAGGGCTGTCCATCTTCATCCCATCTTGCGTCACTTAGCGCATTAGTCTGGGAGCCCACCTTGTCCGTGAATACAGAGGCAAAGAAAGCATTGAGTACTTCAGCTTTCCCCATATCATCTGTCACTAGGTTACCTCCTTCATCCAGTAGGGGCCGCACACCCTCTCTGATCACCTTCTTTTTGTTAACATGGCTGTAGAAACCTTTCTTGTTATCCTTCACATCCTTAGCCAGTCACAATTCCATTTGCGCTTTTGCCTTCCTGATAACCCCCCGGCATTCTTGAGCTATACATTTATACCCCTCCCTAGTCATTTGTCCAAGTTTCCACTTTTTCTAAGCTTCCTTTTTGTGCTTAAGTTCACCAAGGATTTCCCCTGTAAGCCAATCCGGTTTTCTACCATATTTGCCTCTCTTACTATGCATTGGTATGGTTTCTTTCTGTGCCTTCAATAAGGCTGCCAGTTCTCCTGGACTCCTTTCCCCCTTCATATTAGCATCCCAGGGAATCCAGCCCATCAGGTCTCTGAGGGAGTCAAAGTCTGATTTTCTGAAGTCCAGGGTGTGTATTTTGCTTTTCTCCTCTCTTCCTTTGGTCAGGATCCTGAAATCTACCATCTCATGATCACTGCTTCCCAGGTTGTCACCTACCTCTACTTCCCCTACTGGTTCCTCCCTGTTTGTGAGCAGAAGGTCAAGCTGCGCACGGCCCCTGGTTGGATCCTTCAGTACTTGTATCTAGAAGTTATACCCAACATTCTCCAAAAACTTCCTGGATTGCCTGTGTACTGCCGTATTGGTCTCCCAACAGAAGTCAAGGGATTAAAGTCCCCTACGAGAACCAGGGCCTGCAATCTGGAAGGTTCTCTCAGTTGTCCGAAGAAAGCCTCATCTACCTCATCCAACTGATTCGGTGGCCTGTAGCAGATACCAACCACAACATCACTGCTGTTGTTTGCACCTCCAAACTTAACCCACAGACTCTCAACAGGTTTTTCTCCCTCTATATACTGGAGTTCAGAGCAATCGTAGTGCTCTCTTATGTATAGTGCAACTCCTCCTCCTTTTCTCCCCTGCCTGTTCTTCCTGAACAGTCTATACCCTTCCATGACAGCACTCCAGTCATGCAAGTCATTCCACCAAGTCTTTGTTATCCCAATTAAATCATATTTCTTGGATTGGGCCAGGGCCTCCAGTTCTTCCTGTTTCTTGCCCAGACTTCTTGCATTAGTGTACAAACACCTCAAATAACCAGTTGATCGTCCTATCTGCTCCATTCAAATCAGGGGTCCTCCTTTCTTGCTCATTCCGCTTTGCATTTCTTCCCGGTATCCAATTTTCCCATTCCCCTCAGGGTTTTGGTCACCGTCCCCCAACGAACTTAGTTTAAAGCCCTCCTCACTAGGTTTGCAAGCCTGCCCACGAAGCTGCTCCTTTCTCTCTTGGTTAGGTGGATCCCATCTCTTCCTAACAATCTTTGTGCTTGGAACAGAGTCCCATGGTCGAAGAAACCAAAGCCCTCTCTGCGACACCACCTGCACAACCACACATTTACTTCTTCAATTTGACGATCCCTGCCCAGTCCTTTCCCTTCAACAGGGAGGATGGACGAGAACACCACTTGCGCTCCGAATTCTTGGATCCTTCTTCCCAGCGCTACATAATCTGCAGTAACCTGCTCAAGGACATTTTTGGCAGTATTGTTAGTTCCCACGTGGAGAAACAGGAAGGGGTGGCAATCCGAAGGTTTTATCAGTTTGGTAAGCCTCTTGGTCACATCCTGAATTCGAGCTCCTGGTAAGCAGCACACCTCTCG